CACCAACTCCCCACACAGAAAAGATCAAATAAACACAGACTATCCAAGGTGATGATGAAGGAAAAATAAAAATCAATCAGGCAGAGAGACATATAGGAGTGTGGGTATGAGGGAGTATTGTTATTTAAAATAGGGTAGTAAGAGAAGGACCAAGGTCTTCATGAACATTTGGGCAGGAATGAGCCATGGGTCTCTGGAGGTGAGTAAAACAGATTAAAATCAAGAGTGGTGAGAAGACGCACAGAGCGCAGTGGTAGAGCGCTCACTTAGCATGCATAGAGCCCCTGCTAATTCTCCACATTTAAAAGAATAAAAGGAAGGGAAAAAAACCCAGAAACAAAAGTGTGGTCAGAGAAGTTTGTGGAGAAAGTAAAGCCCAAAGGAGGCATGCTGGGGAGTAGGGTGTGGGACGCTCAAGCAGAGTCAGTGTGAAAGCTCCGAAGTGAACAGGAGCCAGAGAAATCTCGGCCCCTTCTAACCTGAATAGAGGTGATCCCAGGGGAGGCCTTCAGAGCCGGGCACAAAGAATTTCTATGTGCTGTGCTATGAAAGTAGCATAAAGACAATGGGCACTGGGGGAGCAAGATTCTGAATCTATTGTCTGAGAATGATTAAGACGAATATAGACGGGCAAATGGAAGACTCTAGAGACGAAAGAGCAGTTTAGGCATGTGGTATACAGTGAGAGAGTACTTACCCAGCATGCATGAGGCCCTAGGTTCAACCCCCAGCACTGTAATGCATACATACATACTATGTGCATGCATACATACATGCATACATACACGCACAGTTAGAAGCCAGGACATGTCGGTCAACTTGTTGAGCACAAGTCTGTGTGTATCTGTGCTGCTGTCTCTAGATGTAAATGCAGACGTTGTAAACACGTGGCCCTTAAAAAACTCAACTGATAAGAGAAAACAGAAGGAAGATTAAGAACTTATTTCAGGGCTGGAGAGATGGCTCAGAGGTTAAGAACACTGACAGTTCTTTCAGAGGTCCTGAGTTCAATTCCCAGCAACCACATGGTGGCTCACAACCATCTATAATGAGATCTGGTGCCTTCTTGTGGCCTATAAACATACATGCAGACAGACACTGAGTACATAATAAATAAATCTTAAAAAAAAGAAATTATTTCAGAGAGTCATTGATTATGTCATTGATAGTTTTAATTACTGGTTTATTTAAATTGCCTCTCTGCATCTTTTCATCGTGAATGACAGTCTGTAGTGGATGTGTTAGGTTTTTCATAGGTGCGAACCTCACACATTTTGGTTTTACACAGAGAGGAGTCACAGGCAGTGTTTTCACCAGATGACAGCTTTGTTTAAGGCTTAGAGCCTTAATTATGCAAACATGTTATTATATTTATTAATAGATGGTTTGAATGCATTTGCATGAATGCATGTTTCTTTCACTGGTTCATTCATCCATCTAAGAACATTGGGTTAGTAGTGCCTTCCTGTGGCAAGTGTCATATGAAAGTTCTGAGCTGTGGCTCCGTGCCAGAGTGCTTGCCTGGCATGAGTAGCCATAGACTCAGTTCCTAGTGCTCATAATTTATGAAGCTTCGGGACCCAGGCTTTGGCTTCCCCACTCAACAGTTAGGTCAGGAGCAAAATATGTATCCTCCAGTCTCTCTTCATGTGTAAATGGCAAACCGTCCATTGTAATTGTGAGCGTCAAATGAATACATGTTGATGCTTCCTATAGGACTTGGAACATGGTAAAATTAAATCAGTTTTGCTGTTCCAGTAGATATTTGAGTGACTTTCAGTTTGTAGAGGAAGTACCTGCCATTGTTGCTAGGACAGTGCAGGACTGAGGAGGTCAAACAGAAGCGGGAACCTGTGGAGAGCAGTGTGCTGCAGCCCTTGCTTTCTCCCAGGCCTGCAGCAGTGGGAGGGGTTGCAGCTCCTAGTGCTTGGCTGTTTTCCCATATATAGGCATTACATTGTATTGATTATTGCCCCAGTCATTCCCCCTAACCCGCTTCCATCTGACCCACTTAGTGTCCCAACTCTTCTATTGATATCACAACAGCATGGGGTAGGAAAGCTGCAATAGAATATATTCATGTTCCTTAGAGCTAAACACAGTTCTTTACCAGACATGATAAGCATATCTTCTGAGCAATTTTAAATCGTATGGCCCAACAGGAATTTTGTGCTTTTACTAATCATGAGAGACATGCTGTATTTGATGTAATCTTGTTTGAGGAGACATCTCGGTACTCTGTAGAACAGTGAACAAAATATTTTGAAATTATTTCATCTATATTTAAATGAATTAAAATTAAATAGCATCAAAATTCTAGCTGCCTAATTGCCTTAGCTATATTTCAAGCATTCAATAGCCACATATAGCTAGTAGCTGCTATTTTGGACAACATATAGAATACAGAATATTTCCATCTTAGAAAGTTCTAATAGACACTATTTCTCTAGGTTTTTTGGGAATTGTAAAATTTTTGCCATATGCCGTAAAATAAGTCACCATGATTTTATCTTAATTTCTCCAGCATGCCATCAACGGCTATTGGACAAGGCACAGGCCCAGACCTCAAAGGCCTTTGTTTAGATCTCAGTCCCTTTGTTGATTTATTGAGAGGCTGTCTCCTGGTGTGGGTTTTTTCTTATATGAAATAAATACTTGGGCCAAATTAAATCATTACTTTTGGAGATTTAAAATCCAGTATGGGGACTGGAGAGATGGCCCAGTGGTTAAGAGTGCTCACTGTTCTTCCAGAGGACCTGAGTTTGGGTCCCAGCACCCACATTGGTTGCTCACTATGTCCCCTAACTATAGCTACAAGGAACGCAACACTGTCTTCTGGTGTCTGATCTCAATGGAGACCTTCACACATATTGCACAATCTCATACAGACACACAGATACATATTCAAAAAAAGTCTGTTATAGCTAGGTGTAATAGCGCTGGCCTGTAATCCCAGCACTTAGGAGGCAGAAACAGTAGAATTAGGAATTCAAGGTCATCTTTGACTAATTAGGAAGCTGGAGACCATCCAGGGTTACCTGAGGCCCTGCCTTAAAAGAGTAAAATGATAAATAAGTTGCTTAGTAAGTTTTCCCTCCAGAGCATTGAGCTCCCAGGTATGGATCTCATCAAAGACTGATCTCTTGGCATGAATGACCATCTGCAGACCAGTCTGATGCCTGCTGACTCCTCAGCTGACCGCTTTGGTTTGGCGTCATTAGGTATGTAGCTACATGCAGTTCTATGCAATGGGAAGCTTTGTGCTTCTGTTTATAGAGGGCTCCACTGCCTTATGCATAGGTTCATGCCAGGAACTGAGGGAGTGGTGAGGAGTCTTGGCAATGACACTCCACAGCTAAGTGTGAAGGACAGAGAGGTCTGTTGACATAGGACAGGCCGCCCAGGGTCAGTCTGACTGGGTATTACAGCTTCCCCCAGCTTCAGCCAGGGTGGAACCCACAGGATTTAACCAGCAGAGCAACTGGCTCCATGCAGGTTGGCACTTGGCTTCCTGCTCCTTGTGGTCAGAGGCTCGCAATTTCTCCAGGAGACTTTAGTTTTTAGCAGCTTTAGCTATCCAGCCAGTCGGCCCCCCAGTAAGGCTTTCTTTTTCTCTAGTGACAGGGAGGAGGTTCTTAGGTTAACCAAGACTCAATAGACTAGCTCATTAGTGACTTTTTTCCCCTGAGGCCCTAATGGGGTTTGAGGGGAGCATCCAGGATGGCTAGAAAGTGATTTGTGATTCCTTGATTATTGAGTTGTGTGTCCCTGACCAAGTGTGGCCTTGGACGTCTGTCTAGGATCACAAGATGGAATGTAATGTGGACATTCTTTTGACTTTCTTTCTTTCTTTTTTTTTCAAAGTTTACTCTGAGAACACGCAAATGACCAGTGTTCTTAAAAACACTTGCTATGTAGGCCAGGCTGGCCTTGGGCTCATTGATCTACCTGCCTCTGCCTCTAGAGTGCCATGTCTGGGCTTATATGTGTGTGTGTACATGTGCATGCATGTGTGTATAACACAAATATATAGTGTATGTATATAATTGTTTTTATATTGAAAGGACTCCACATAGCTTGGGCTGACCAGAAACCGGCTATGTAGCCAAGGATAGCTCCTGATCCTCCTGCTTCCAGCTTCCAGTAAAGGATCACAGGTGTACACCGCCATGCTGGCTCTCAGCAGTTATTTTATTTTTAAAATCAATTAATTAGTGTGAGAGAGAATGGTGTGTGTATACTGGTGCCTGTGCCAGAGAGGAGTGAGTTCTCCCTTTCCACCTTTAACATGGTGCCTGGATTGAACTCAGGTGTCAAGCTTCTGCCAGAGCCTTTATCCCCGGAGCCACCTTGCCCACCTCCCCGCAGAGCAGTGATTTTGAAGAGAGAAGAGTAGCAGGTGGTAAAGCCTTGGTCATCCTTGAATTATCTTTGATGTTCCTGCTGTGATGTTATGATTTGTTTAACACTGTTTGCTTATCCTAATACTTAAAGACACACACACACCCACTCCTCTTTTTTTGTTTTGTTTCTTGTCCTCCTACTTCCTCTTCCTTTGGCTGCCTCACTCTCTAGTTCTCTGTGGAAAAAGGTCGCTGTTAGTCTGAAGAACTGGATGGGGGAATCCTGTGACTCACTCCTTTTCACACCCACCTTGTGGTGAGGTGCTTTCAGCCTTAAGTGAGCAGAGTAAATACGTGTGTGTGTGTGTGTGTGTGTGTGTGTGTGAGGTCGCGTGCGAGCGCGTGTGCTTGCGCACGCGCGGGGACACCCGCCTCCAAACCTGCAGCGTAGTGATTGTAAGCTCACGCTTCAAGCCCACTGTGTCAGCGCGTGTGAGTCTGTGTGCACGCGTGTGTGAGTGCTCGCTGCGCGCGCGCCAGTCCGGAGGAGCGTGTGCGCGCGCCCTCGGCTTCCCCGCACTCCCGGGCGGCCCGGAGCTGGCCTTCAGCGCCTCTTACCTCTCCGTGCCTGCCGTGCGCGCCCGGCTGTTTCTATAGGAACCAGCAGGGCGCCCGGCCCCTCCGGCTGCGGCCCGCGCGCGAGCATGCCCAGTGCAAGCCGCTAGTTTGGCTCGGGTCTCGGTTTCCAGTAAGTGGCCTGCGGGACTCGGGAGAGATCCCAGGGAGCTAGCTGAGCTGATCGCCTTTGTGTGCAGAGGGAGGAGGAGGCGGCGGCACGACCCCACCCGGGGAGCCCCACGGCAGGAACAATGCTAGCTTGCCTGACCCGCGGGAACTTACTGGATGTCTTGCAGGAGGGCTTCAATGAGGTAACTGCCCCGCTCCTCCCACCCTCAGCTCCCCGTCACCCCGTGCCTCCCGCCTAATCTCCGGAAGGGGATCCTGGGGGGCGGGCATCCTCCGGGGGAGCCCAGAGCACATCACACACGTCAGGGTTGGAGAGCCTGGTGGCAGAGCCAAGGTGGTGGGTGCGGTGCAGAAAGATGCTCGAACCTGAGGACATCAGAAGGGCGGTGGGCCTCTCTCTAAGCTGGATGGTGGCCTTCCTGAGCGCGGAGGTCTTTTAGGACCACGGACTCAGAAGGCGTCTCCTTGCAAGAAAGGTAGACCTCACGCCTCCCAGGGACTCTCCGGGGACATCCTTGAGGGAAGTCCTGAACTGGAGACAGCAGAGCTCTTTCTATTTCAGGAGCTAAGTGAATGAGTCACGGGAGGGGTGTGGTGGTGTGGCATTGGTAGAAAGTTTGAGAGGGCAGGAGACTGCGGGTGGTCCACACGAGGGGCCCATTCCACGTGGGAATTCCCTGAGTTCCCGCACGTTGTGTCCTCCACCACCGAGGACAAGGTTCGCTAAGAGGAGCAACCTGGGTCACAGGCCCAGTTTCAGGAGCCAATATGTGATCCCTCCTGTGAGAACTGCTGAGGAGCCTCAATCTGACAGGAAAGGTGGGCTAGGCTTGTTTTCTCCTCACAAGTTTCTCTCAGAATTCTATTACCTCTTCCGTTTGCTTCTTTTGTGATCCAGGCAATTCTTGTTGGAGACCCTTGCCATTTGCCCTCGCTCCTCACAATCCTTTTGGTTGCCTTACCCCAGCAGCCACGAAGGGATAGGCTATTGGCCATGGCTTCCTGCCCACTTTTTCCTCTGGCCACCTCTCCCTTCTCTATGGATTTCTGGGGAGGGGAGCTTGGGCATGCTGTGTGGATGCTCTGCCACTGCCCTACTCCTCCACCCTTTAAGGCAGCCCTTGTGTTTTGAAAATCAGGTTTTAGCCAGATAACATATAAAATCATGTTTTTCCCAGGCACTGGTGACTGAACCTAGGCCTTGCATATGACTAGGGGCTCTACCTCTGAGCTACACCCCAACTCAATTTTCTTCTTAAATATTAACATTACAGGCAAGACGGAAGAGCCTTTTGTGCCATTCCCTGCTTCCACCCCCTACCCAACCCTTTCCCCTAGAGGCAACCAACCATTCTCATGAATTTCCATGTAGGATTTTTTTTTTCCTACAGCTGCACGACAGGCTCCCTCCTTGATCCCTGTTTCTAATTAAGAAGCCCTGCCTTCTGACCTGCGTTAGAGCATTCCCCAGTTCTGGCCCCTGTGCCCCAGCCTTGTTCCTCACACAGACAGAGAAAAAAAAATCCAACGGAAATGTTCTGCCAGTATGACCAACTGTGCTGGAATTTTCCTTTGGCCGAGGGGTGTCACAACCTTCATTGACGGGCAGAGTGTGTGTCCTGCCTGCAGGACTGGCCTCCTCATCTTCACATCACTCCTGACTGAACACAGTAAGAGACTGGTTAACAAAGAGCCTCAGACCCAGGGGTGAAACACAGAGAGCCAGGAATCACACCTCGTTAAGGGCCTCCTGTGTTCTCCTTCATCTCTTCTCCCTCTCTGCCCCTGGGCCTTCTCTGGTCCTTAACTGTGTCAATCCAACCCGTTCACCAATTGTGGCAAAAGACCCTGGATCCTCTCATGGCCTCTCCCTTCTTCTGATTTAACCCAGCTCTCTGGTGTCAGGACCCATCTTCCGATTAGAAGGGAACTGGCACAGAGCCAAGTCTTAGCCTTTGCTTTCTGCTGGGTTTTTTCATTTCTAAATCTTTATCTGAAGACCCTTGTGAAACCGAAGCTGCATGGCTATTATTCCCATGCCTCTGTACATAAATATTGCCTAATACCCAGTTCTTTCAAAACAAGGGGAAAGGGAGGTGAAATATTTTTTTTCCTGTAGTGGTAATGGAATATTCCTATAAACAGCAGGCAGACAACTTTGCGATTAACTCTTCTGTTAAGAACAGTCCAGTAATGTGTCTTTGTGTCCTCTGATGTCTAAATTGTCTACCCATCCCACAAACTGCTCTCTCTGCAGGCTCGTGTGCTCCTTAGTAGTAGAATCCTTAGTAGATTTGAAAACTAAAATAGTACTTTGATTTTATACCTCTAAGTAGTATAAATATTAATGTTAAATTTAGTTAACACAATCTTCCACATACATAACAACATTTTCTTCATCCCTCCCCATATACTGCCACATAATATGCTACGGAATAACAGGATTAGTGAAGTAATTGGTGTGGTTGGTGGGAGCCCTGTTTGATCTAGTCCAGGCTCAAGGTTGCTTAATAGGCCCAGTAATATTCAGTCTCTTTTGTTAGAATCCTATGATAAGACTATAAAAGGGGACTTAAAAGAGTGTGTCAGAATACACTTGATTCCTCTGAGAAATTATTTCTACTGAGGCTAAGAATACCACACATTCAGCCACCTCTTGGGAATAATCTAAGTATATCTGAAGCTATCCTTCATCACCCCGATGGTTTATTATAGGTCTGTGTGGTTAGGGCTGCAACCTCATTCTTCCTGGCAGAGAAAACTCCCACAGGAGACAGGGAGATGGCCTTAATTGGTTAATTATAAAGAAAGCCAGCAGCAAAGAGAAACCCTGCCCTTTGAATCAAGGCTTCCTTGTAGTTACTGCTGGTCTCTCCTCAGTCCAAATGCCACTGAATAGAACTGCGTATGACAGAATCTTCTTTCCTCACATTGCCCACCTAGAGGCCTGGCCTCAGCATGCCTGGCAAAGACGTCACAGAACTGATTCGTGCCAGCGCTGCTAAAGCAGTCTCTTGTATTGACGTGGTTAATTTTTACTGTGAGTTATCCATAGATTTTAGCTACTGTCATTAGTAACCCACCTTGGCTAGAATGGGTTTTTCTCTAATTCTTTACTTCCTTATTTTGCATTTGTTTCAAAGCTATTTGTGTGGTGGGTGTGTGCAGCGTATACGTGCACAACCCTGAAATTGACGCCAAGTGTCCTCCTCAGTTATTCTCCCCTTGCTTTTTGAGGCAGGGCCTCTCACCCAACCTGGAGCTCACTGATTCCACTAGCCAGCCTGGCCAGCGAGCTCTGGGGATCTACCTGTCTCTGCCTCCCTAGTGCTGCTGGGCCTGACTTTTTATGTAGGTGCTGGGTATCAGGTCTTCATGCTTACATAGCAAACACTTCACCGACTGACCCATCTCCCAGGCCTGTTGTTTCTGACACAGGGTCTCATGTGACCCAGGCTGGCCCTGAACATTGTAGGTAAAGGATGATGTTGAATTCCTGATTATCCTGTCTCCATTTCCCCAGTGCTGGAGTTGCAGGCATGTCCCTCAACACCTAGTTCAAGCTACTTGGTATTGGTTGTTATACTAACATTGTCTTTGGCAATATGAATTCTGCCAGTGTTTCTCCTGGGGGACAAACTTCTTTTTAAAAACTTTGGTGTTTTTTATTTGGAGATTTTAGTAGACCTATATTTATAATATGGTTTGACCAGTAACCATTCGTTTATTCGTTCATTGAATGAGGGGAATATATTTACAGCTGTTGAGAAGTGTATAGGGAGAGACAAAACCTATGGGAAAACCCCAATAGGATGCCTAATGCCATAAATACCACAAAAGAGTAATGTTTATGGGAGATTGAAGACTTTCTAATTAATAAACCATGAAAAGAAGCAAATACTTATCCACCTTCGTGTTCACTGAGGTCAGGTCCCCACCACCACCACCGCCACCACCACCGCCGCTTAGCTGGCATATGTGTGCAGGCAATCACTCACCAAACACTCAGTGAATTACTGTGTTTACCAGGCACTGTGCCAGGCTCTGGAAATAGAAACCAAATAACAGAATCTGTTTCCTAATGGAGTTTACAGGCCAACGAAGATAAAGAAAGCATCATACTTGGGAACTTTGTGGCAGTGCAGACATGTTGCTAGTGGAAAAGAGGGAACTTCTGCCTAGTCTTGCTGGGAATGGCTAAGAGGCTGAAAGTGAAGCCAGTGTCTGGCCGTGTGAACTGGCAGATTTTCCCCTGCCTGTTTTTCTCCGAGTAGAAAAGACATATTAGACATATTGAAAAGCCACGTTAAGATCATACATGTTTGTCTGAGGGAAGTAGCGCATTGCTGGACTCAGCAGGTCTGGAGGCAGGAGGGTGGCTTAGACCCTGTGTTGGCATATTTAGATCATCATGGGCAGCATAACAAGTCCTTATCTGGAAAAAATGGCAGGGTCACGAGGGTGGAAAGATGACTCAGTGAGTAGAGGTATTTGCCACCAAGCCTGGTGACCTGAGTTCGGAAGGGTAGAACTGAGTCCTGCATGCCATCCTCTGATCTCCACATACACACCTTGGCAGGTGCCCACCTACTCCCACCCCCCAATAAATAAATAGATAAATAAATGTTTTGTTTTTTAAAGGGAAGGGTGGGGGCAGGGAATTTATCTGCTTGTTAGTCCCTGAGAGCAGAGTGTGAGCCTTCGTCTGGCCTCATCCTGTCATGGCGATACTGAGTAAGGCGAAGACCCGACAGGCAGAGGAGCTGCTGGGAGCATCCCCTTTAGTGCCTCCTGCATTCCAGGAAGTAGGGTTGCAGCACTGGGCCTAAAAGAGGCTCTCAGGCGTTCTCATAATGAATTCCCCAGCACTCCGCTGAAGAAATGAAAGGCCCGTTAAGTTTTTAAGGTAGCGAAGCACTCCTCCTCTCAGCCTGATTTTTTTCTCTAGGCTGACTTCCTCACTCCCCACCCAGCCTCACTGGCTTTGTTCCCACCGGTGCCAATGCCAGCTCCACAGATGCTCTCTGGCTGAAAGCTACTGGGCAGCCGTGTGTTCCCCGTGCTGAGTGATGGGCAGGCCAGGCATGTGCAGCAGTGATAGGGCACAGTTTGCCAGGTGCCACTCCCCGCCCCCAGGTGGTTTAGAGAGTTTGAACATGAATAGTACTTCATCTGCCTCGAC